GAAGAGACCAATTCAACTACTTAATTGTAATATGTATTAAATTTGTAGAAAACAATAAAACTTATTTATCGAAGATTTGAGTCACTAAAAATAAAGTTGTTATTTTTTATTATGCTATGAAGGTATTGAGTATACTTTTAAATTAACCATTTGACATATAACGTTTAACTTAAAAATTTACAACAGTCGTCATGTTATTTTAAACTAAGTAAGCCAAAACAAAACAGGTAATGTAGTATATGTTTATTTAGTTATAAGTAAGAAAAAATATCCACAACTGAAAAAGACACCGATAAAATATTCAATATAAACTGTTATTTTTTTTAATTAATTGTATTGTTTTTACAAACAAGGCCGGCAACGCATCTACAACACCACTTGTGTTGCAGATGTCCATGGGCGACGATAACTACTTACCATCAGGTAGGCCGTCTGCTCGCTTGGCCCTTTGGGACATAAAAAAAAAAAATATTGTATAACTCTCATTTCAATAAAATAATTTGAAAATTGATGACTTTTTTCAACTGTAATAACAAATAATACAGTTTGTAAACATGTAAGTGTCTAGAAAACTGTAAGATGACATCAGAGCATCTATGACATATTATGTAATATGAAACCTAAAAATAAAATTTACGTCAAGGTACTACAGCTTCGAAAATAGGCTGGCTCCACTGGGGAAGTACCACCCTCTCACAGAAGATCGTTGTGAAGTAGTCTACACTCTACAACAACTGCGTTTCGTCCGGTGAGTATGCGAGCCGGTTGTCCTTCTCCTTTTCCCACCTTTTTTGCTCACTCCCCCTATTCCCACCCTTTTCTCTCCCTCTTCCACAATCATGATCTGCGACGCATCAGCTATGTCCATGGGTGACGGTGACTCCTTTCCATCAAGTAGGCTTTGAATCAACGTCCATATAAAAAAACATAAAACATTTTGTTCATACTCAAAACAATTTTCTCGTTTTAATCAAAACATTTTTCTCGTTTATCGGACGCGTGATAATTATATACTGTATGCTTAAAATCTTTTTGCCACAAAAATTAAACGATAGTGTCTATTGATGTCATATTTTAAAGAAATAAGAAATTGTTTGTCATATTTTAATAAATATATTTTTAAGGATGTTTTTTAATAATATCAAAATTAATATAAATGATACCCAAAAATAAAAAATATACTATTAAATTGTATATATGTACGTCCTGGAAAATAAATTACGTTACGATCAGATAGTGTTTATTTAGATTAAATAGAAGAAAGGAAATTAAAAAACAGTTCAAACAAATTTTTATTCCCTTGAATTCTAGAAACAATTGAACGACAGAATAATCATATTTATTTGTTTACTTATATACTTTAAGTATTAACATTTTTATTTACATTGCATTAAAAAAACTTGCACTATATGTAGAGCGCCCAGTTTTTTGGCTGAAATAACCTACGTTAACATATACCTATATAAATATATATTACAGTAGCTTTAAAGATCAAATAAAACTTTAAATTACTATGTATTTAATTAAATAATTAAATTTCAGCAATCATGGATTCAGCGTCATCTGGTTATCACCACTAGAAACAAGGGGCAATCCTATCAATTTTTTGTAAATCTTAAATCTTGATTCTGTTTACAATCTTAAAAATTTTATAAACAGTTACTTTATTTTAAAAATTAAGAACACAATGGTCTTATTTCACTAGTGCTATAATGTTCTTGACGATCAAGGTTCTAAAGCTTTTTCAATAGTAGATAATTTCGTTTACGCCAAAAAATGGTCAGTAACAAAATGAGGCGGTTGTACATTGGTATCAATAATTTATTACAAAAATGGGTGAAAGCATAAAATATGTTCAATAAAATACTCGAATATGAATATAATTTATTTTACAAAAGTAAATACATATTTATATGTAGCGAAAATTGTAGGCAAAATCGATTTGTAAGTTGTTCGATTTAAAATGTCTGTTAATTATGATCAAATTATTTTGAAAAAAGATATTTTATAACCATATATTGACAGTATTTATATTTATATTCGGTTTATTACTTTGAACAATAAATAAACAAAATATTTTCGACTGTATTCAACTCTGTTTTCAAATAAAACGACCTTTGACTGTCATGATCATTGGATATTGCTGTGTTACTTCTGTAAAAATATATGTAATTAAAAAAGTATTTTTACTGCATCCTTTTTTCCGGTTATAACAAAGACCAATATGGACTAATCTGCAAAGTATTTCTTAATTAAGCGACTCTTTCTTATTATAACAAAGGTACTACATACAAATATGTACAATAAGAATATAAAAAGGTTATTAATTTGAATTAACGGTAAAAGGAGAAATATTCAGTCAATGTAATATTTCATATTCTTTTTCTTAGCGTTTGACCTATCTTATGACGGATCCGCTGTCCTAATTTTCTTCTTCCACTACGCTCTATCATGGACGTTGTCTTTCAGAAGATCGCTAGGTACTTCTCATATTCTGTTTTAGAACACTCAATCATCATTTCTTTGAAATTATACAAGAATAATAAAATAATAAAATTACATGAATTTTTTATCGAAATATAACACAACATATAAAAGTTTCATTATTTCATTATATCAAGTTTTAAGACGAACAGTTTACATTTGTATTTATAATCTTATCTTATATAATCCTTTATTATCTTATCCCATAATATATTTTATATTGTTTAAAATCAATCTTAGTATTTTAAACAGAGAAAACTTTGGATATCTCACCAATTTCGTTTTATTCTACTCGAGGAAAAGATATAGCTGAAACTACGTTTTTTTTTGCTTTTTTACTGAACACCGCAGTAAAACATCCAATCATATGCATGTTGGTATAAGACCGTTGCGGATCTGATGAACGCTCGATTAAATATAATTTCATATTTGAAACAAGCGATACTTTTTTCTGTGAGTTGTTTCAATAAAATAGATAAAAGAAATAAAAAAACTTTTTTATAACGCTTTCAATATTTTTATTTAAGATAAAGGTTTGAGGAGGGACTATAAGTTCTATTATATTGGACTATTAACGATATGACTACTGTTACTAATAAGTATGTAAGCATTACACTGAAACACTTTTCTTTAAAAGTACATTTAGCCTCAATTGGAAGCACATACGAAGCGTGCCTCATAAAATCTATATACGTTTATGCTATAATGTGCTAATATTTATGAATGCGAAAATTCTTAATGCCTTAGACATAGCGTGAAAGTTCCAAATTAGACTAGAATACGGTTGTCTATCTTTTTCTTCTTCACGATCTTTGATTTGAACTAGTCTTGTACATAAAACTATATACAATGTATTACAAAAAAGATATTAGAATCACGTTTTACCAATAAAAATGATGGCAAATAAAAACAATGGAATGAAATCAATACCATAAAATCGCTTGTAAAAGTATTACTTGTATTATATTTTTAAATTTAGGAGCACTTTTTATCAAAACACATCTTCCTGTAACACCTATTTCTATGAATAACACTATGTACCATTCATGAATTGTGTGCAATTTAGATATAGAAATCATAAGTTTCATACAATTCAGTGAATTCTTTTTACTATTAAATGGCTTAGCTTTATTCTCTCATAACTTTTTGTTTGTAACTTTTATCCCAATAGTTTTAATTTGAAACAAGATTTAAATATATACATCCTCAAGGTCCTACTTATAATAACTATTCTCTTACCTACTTGAATACATTTCAACGGAATTAATCACACCCAATATAATTTGACACTTGTCTTAAATATTATGTTTTATGATTTGCATTCCTATTACAATTTTTTGAATGTATTCGTTTTAAAGTAATAGTTATCATTCAATTGAATAAATAAAAATAGGATTAAAAAATATGATTTATGTTCTTAAGTTCTTGTGTCTAGTATATATTTATGTACATTGAATACGGAATATACATCTATTTCATACATAATCAATTTTATTGAACGATGTAATTGATTTTGAGGAAATGTCACAATAGAATCATCTTATTCATTTTGTTTTTATTATATCCCTTTTAATTCCATATAAGGGATCGTATTATGCACACTTTTTAACCTCTTTTTCATTTACAATAGAATTTCAATAAGCCGGACTCGGGTTATTTGTATTTCCGATTGTGTATCAGAATTTATTGATATTTCAATATGTTTAATGGTACAATAAATATTGGAGTTGTGTTTAGAAATATTTGTTTATATTTACAAATATAACATTATAAAATGTTTCACACCACGTCCACGACTTTTATTGGTTTAAACTTTAATTTTGGCATATTTTATGTCAGGTGTTTAACTACTTATATAACTTTTTGTGTCCAATATCGATGGACTAAACAATATTTTTTATTTGTTTTATCTTTCTAAAATTAAAATGTATGAGAATCTTCTGTTCAAATGAAATGCGTAATTATAATTTAAACACTTTAATATTTACATCTTAATGTAAAACTTCTAACTCAATAATAAAATATTATTATTTAAGTATCAAATAAATAATTAAAAAAATTAAAGTCTTGTATCACTGGAATGACCTGTTTGTGCTGCCATTGTTAAATCTGAAACAAAATAAAAAAATATCTGTTCACTGGTTCCAGCCTTTGCAGTGTAATTTGCAATATTTTTTGGCTTTGAAATGAAATATATATATTGATGGTAGTTTAAAACTACTGGTATTGTATAAATATTCTATAAAGGATTTAGAAATTTTAACAACATCTACACCTTTAAGCGGGAGATTTAAAGGATTACAACATTTGCTTACCATACTCATTAGTAACTTTCGATATTAAAAATAAACATAAAATCTGTTTTTGATGACAAAAATTTTAGAAAATTTAGAATTTAATTTTAGAATTATCTACCTAATATGTTTTTTATAAATTCATTTTATGTAATTATACTTCCATTAGGTCTCGTTAGATCTCATTGTACGTAATATACTTTAAGAAGACATATATCTCACCTAAAAGTACCACAGATAGAGACTGAATATCACAGGAGATGACGTCATGTAACACGCTATTAAGCTGTTCTTGTATACGTGGGCTGGCGTCACACCATACTATATGACCATGGAGTGACCACTCGCTTACCAGCATACTGAGGCTCTGGAAATAAAAAATTACAATCCCACATAAATATATATCTTAAATTTAAAAGAACCCTTATCACTTCGTTCGTTCACTTTGTTATCATTCTGATTGTGTATGCCAAATGGAATCCAATTATGAGGCTAGAGTCCCGTAGACAAGGAAAATGTAAAAAAAATAAACGTATGTAAAAGAAAATTCTTTTTCATACAAAACAAAAAAGACAACGTTTCCTATCTTTAAAATCATAGATACAGAATTCAGAGTAAGATAACAGTTTTCAATTGTATAATAATATTTGTCATTCATTTAGTGATTATAGGATCGTATTATAAATTAGTATCAACTCGTACACAGGACATCTCTCACACCAGGGTACTATCTTTGTGTGGAATATGAATCGCCATTATATTTAATATTTACGATATTCTCAGTGAAGCCACTTTCTCGTTGGCTTAGGGGACCAAAAAATTGTCTCCCATTCGCAGAAATGTTCGACGTGTCTTACAGAAAATCTCCTCATAACTTTAAAATACTTCTCTCCATTAAAAGAATGCAAAAACGATTCAAATGGTTAAGATAGTGGTAGATGACGTACATATCAATCCTAAAGATAAAATTCTTTTAAACTATTAGTATATTTCAAGTGAAAGAGGTTTTGAATAGGTAAACTCGATCACAAGAAATAAATGCAGGTGTGTTATAATATTAAAAGAAGTTTTGCTGCGGGGAACAAATAATATTGGCATACTCCTATTCATTAACAATAAACTACTCAGTTGAATTCCCGGAAGATAATTATTAATTTGTAAAATGTAGATCTATATTAATACTTTATTAAAAACCCGACAGAAACATCTCATTACTTCCAAATGCTTTGTAAATATTCATTCCATGAAATTAAACTTATATTTTATATTGAATAATATTACATTAAAACAACATCATTATATCAAATGAGGCTTTATCATAAAACTGTAGTGAAACCCATTACTCGCAGCTATTCTTTTGTGTAGGGAAAATATCTCATGTTTCATAACATGAACCATTATTACCATTAATAAAAGGTCCTGTGTATTTTAAAGGTAAAATCAACAAAGTGGCTTGTGCTAGTGAATATTGAGTAACGTTTTCATTAGGTTTAAAATTCGATATTTACGTTTTCATATTCAATTTGTGGCAGAGTAATTACTCCAACTTTTCGTTATTTTGTAATAACCAATTATATAGCGTATCGATTTCATTCAAATATATGTATTTAACAAACTGCAGCAAGTTATTTCAACTTAATTTAAATAAAGAAATTGTATAAATTAATATTAAAAATAATATTTAATTTGACTTTTTCTTTCGAATGTATGTTATAACGAAATTATAGTAAAGTTTGAAAAAACCTCTTAACATATATTATGTAAATAAATTTTACTTAAAGGTTAATTTTTTAAATATACTTTGACACTGTCGTAAAACCAAAAGTAAATGGACCACACTTATTATTTAAAAATTATAAAAACTATATTTCACTGTAGAATAAAAAAGTAACAAGATTATTAAGAATAGACAGTGGCAATGTCAGAATTTGTTAAAAACAATTTTCGGATTTATCTCACGTATGATATAATTATATTACGTTACATTTTGGCTTTTACCTGTTTCGACTTTGCTGTAATCAAGTTAACGGCGAAACCGAACGGCACACACATTGATATCAATTGGTTTCAAACTAAGAAGTTTCATTTAATATTAAAAGAAAATATATTATTTTTCTAATATATTTATTTTATCTGAATCGAATTACGTAACATAATATATAATTTGTTAATAATTATAGTACATCCAAAGTAAAGGATACATTTTTCAATTTAAAAAATAATTTAAGAGTTCACTTTATTTTTTCTAACTTTAGTTTTATATTTTTTTGTATCTGATTATGTAAATTAATAACAGAAAATTTAACAGCACACGGTTTTGTTCCAATCCCGCAACAATGGAACGACAAAAAGGAACCGTTTAATTTTTTTTCTCTTATGAATATATTAGATAAACCTATTTATTTTTAGTGATAACATCTACATGCCAAGCCGGAATTTTCTTTCCTTTGCTAACAAAAATCCCGTGTAGGATGTATATTTTGATTATATGTATATTTTAGAATTTGGATTATATGTCCAAACTCTTTAAGAATGATACACAATAAAGATCTACTAAAAATATAGTAATGTTGTTTAGATAATGTTCACTTGAATATTAAGAATATATATGAATGAAAAAAAAATATCATAAAAGTTGTACATGGTTAAAAAATACTGACCAGATTTTGAACTTAGTAAATTCGGGAAATTACGTCTTTATTATTATCTTTATTAATACAGCAATAATGTTCCAATTCCTTTTAAATATGAAATAAGCAGATCATAATTTAATTAATGAATTTTAACTATCATATATGTACATACCTGTAAAAATGTGTAGTCCAGTCTGACCAATGAATTACAATGCACCACCAATATATTACAAGCCCGCGGTCTTGATTCACTTGTAGCGCTGATCCCATCGTTTATAACCCGTAAATTATTATCTAGCCTGATATCAGTGAGTTCATTAGATTTCTTTAAAGCGGTCAATGTTAAACGAACCTTCTCAGCACTAGCGAAATTCAAACTTCCTACTGGTTCTACCGAGTAATGGGGTGGAAGATTGCCGTCCTGTAAAAAAAATTATCAATTTACATATTGTAGAGAATATAATGAGAAGAAAGATTACATATACTGCTATTAACTCACATTGACAAATTTAATATTTAACTTCGGTCTTGAATTGTAGTACAATAGAAGCAGAACGTCAATCACGACTCCGCAGCCCAAACCCAACTCAACACCAAACACTAGACAGCTTAGGAATGTACCGAATAGTGGTATTAAATCAAGTCCTGAAATAATAATGATTTAAGATTATTTTTTTTTACAACTTCAACTCAGATAAAACTCAGTATATTTTATCTTTTAGCCAATCTATTAATAACATTTTAGTAGCCGTAATCATAACAATGTGAAAGAAAAATGTTTCTCATTTAGTGTAGTTTTAATTCCGTCAGAAACGATTACTTAATATTTTTATATACCACTATAGAGAGATAGACCACTGAATATATTAAATCATGAAGTTTTGCAGTGAATGGTCTTGCATTAAAATTATACAAGTGTGGAAGTCCGCAGTGTATGAACATAAAGTATCCGAGTATACATTTCCAAGTCAAACCCTCATACACTTTTCAATAAAACTCATATCGAATGCGAGGAGATATTTATTCATGAGGCTACAGAAATTTAAAAAAGATTCTTATTTTAGTAGAAAAAACAATTGTCAATTATTTTACATGCGGAAAATCCTCAAAAGTATTAAATATTACACCAATGACCACATTTTAAGACTTCAAGATACACTGAACATATTATGTATGCGGAACAATACAAGATGGAAGTAATAAATCATTGGAGATAGGTAGAAAATTTCAAGAATAACCAACAGAAACTTTAATTTCATCCTAAAGTTTACACGGCGACTTCAAAGTTATCAAAAAGACCGTTAACAAATAAAAATAAGAATTCATATGTACATATAATGGAAAAATCGGATTATATGTAAATAAAAAACGCGATGTACAATAAAATAGTATACTACATATAAAATTTCTACGAACAGCTGATTGAGAGTCATTTATTGTGGTTTCGACGTACAACTTTGAACATTAGATGAAGAATGAAGAACAAAGAATGTAAGGGAAAACGTCTTGACAAAGCCAAAGAGATTTTATAAAACAAAAATCGTATTGAATTCTGAAAAACCTTACAAAGGCTCGTGATTGAGCTCCGAGCGTATGAAACTGTGTGACGTAAACCGAACGCGCAATGATGTTATCTTTTCAAATCAAAGAGTAAATGGACTTTGTTTTCCGCTCTCTGCCAACCCTAATTTGAATTTTAGGACTTATAAAAATATAAACATGTACAAAGACTTTCGGTTATGGAATGCCTATTTTCTGTTTCTTATAATAAGCCAAAAACTTATTGAATGGATTGGTAAAGCAATTGTTACTTCATACTTGTTTTTATAGGAATACACTCATCGCTCATGTCTCTTTCGGTTGACTGATGCCATTGAGGATCAAGAACTACATACATCTAACGAAGAAAAACTCTTAAGAGTAGATGCGATATAATTGAAAAGGATTACATCATTCCAACAGATATACATAGTTTATCTACATCTGAACCATAATGGGTTTTGGAATATAGATAAGTTTTGTATAAATTAATACTTTTAGCCATAACAAACACAATTGTATTTTTTTAAATAAATTCCGTTTTCCTTTGATTGAGAATAAAAGTATTTCTTTGTATCTGGTATGATGATAATTATAGAAAAAAAAATTGAAATTGAAAAATAAATAAAAAAGAAATCAAATTATACCATCGAACTGAATATTCAAAATTTGGAATTTAATCAATGTCTATTCATAAATATTTCTTAAAATCCTCAAAATTGCCATCCCTGTATAGAACCTATAAATAATTTTACACATACCAAGATAATACCTATATTAAAAATTTTCTTTATTGTCTCATAATAATCATAAAAAGATAATACAAAATTTTCTTTGTATATCTATTTCTTAATGGTGCTTTAAATTTTTAAGAGCTCTCGTGTCTTGGCACAGAGCTACATTTTATATTTTGGAAACTAACTTTTCCCATAAACTTGAATTATATTGTATTATTAAGCAGTTATGGAAATTTTGAAACTTGTAAAATAACAGAAACGACATTACAATTTATTCCTTTATTTCTGAACTAATTCTAAATAATATATCTAAAAACCATAATGGAGAATTATTATTTTTATTTTCTACTTTTATATTCATTTTATTGTCTGCAAAACTGATAATGATGTTTATTTATTCGTATCGTATTAACAAGAGTACAAATATTAGTTTCAAATTATTATATAAATTCATAAATACAAGATATATAGACTTTGTCTTTAATTATACCATCAAATTACCAAAATATAACAACTGCAGTATCTGGAAACAAACAATCTACTCATCTCGTGTAATGTTTGTTTAATGAATATTACATATGTACATAGTTTGCGGCTCTTGATCGTTCAGTCAAAAATCAAATAAATATAAAAAAATCTGTCTATTGTAATTTATATATTTCCATATATAAAAATAGAATCGATCTTTATTTGTGATTTCAAATATTTAGATTTTCTAAAGTACTTTATACATTAAGTGGAAGCATACAAAAAAATATTTTTTATATAATTATGATTATCATAACTAATTGGAACTTTCACTTTATTAATACACATTAGTGTTTAACCCCTAAAATAGTACAAAATTTACCCTGAAAATATTTTAAGATTCATTAAGCCATCAAAAACCAGTTAAAAAGAATCGAAAAAAAATACTTATTGAGAAAAATACAATATATCTTGCCTCAAGACCTACCTAATTATGATAATTTGTCAGTGAATAACGCTTGAATAGGATGTTACATAAACATTTAAATGAGACTACCTTTATCTGCATGTTAAGTATAAGATTACCTTTTTATTTATTAAACTCTATGTTAAACATTTCATCTTCCCGTAAATTAGATTTTGTGAAGTCTAAATATAAAAACCATGTAAAGCAATTTTGTGTTACTTGAAAATAGAAAATACAATTAATCTAGATGGAAACAAATTTTAACGGAAAAACGGTAATAAGTGTAGGCACTGTATTGTTCCATGATTTTTGTCGTCTGTTGGATATAACAAAAGCTATCACAATTACTCTTGACATATGCATGGCTCGATAACGTTCATTTAATTGAACGCACATGTTACATTCGAAAAGAGTTTTTCTATACTAATTAGTTTTTAGTCTGTTTCAGTACGCCGTTTGTGGTCGTTCCATGCATTACGACGGCAAAAAAAAATGTATTTCAGTTATGACGTGAAAGCGAAAAATATAGAAAATACATGAATATGCTGATGAGTTTCTAAAACCGTTTGTTATGCTACATGTCAGGTTTCCGGATGAATACCAAATATAGTTCACATAAAATACATAAAGCTTTGTTCAGATAACAGATTTAAAGCACGATTTGAAATTATGTAGATGTTTTTTTTATGCATAAAATAAATAATAAATATTCTATACAATACATAACAATACAAAAATCACCATTTGGATGGATTAATATCATTTATTTTTCCTATAATTCATTATGGTATCGCCCAATGATGAATTTTGTTTTTAAATCCCTACTTAAATAATAATCATAATTTATAAACTTATACCACATATAGCAACGCTTAAGGAATTAAAAACGTTTAAACTGTTCGTGTGAAACTGACTATGTAAAATCGTAAATAAAATATTTGATTAATATTTGATTTAAGAATAATTATTCTCGAAATGAAATATAATTATTTTATTTTTGAAACACATTATTATCATACTAAACCTACAGAAACAGTTCACTGAAACATTTTGTAAAAGCTATTAAATCGAGCATACAAACTTTCATATTTATTTTCCTAGCTTCGAGCATTACCAATTTTATGATCAGACAAAGAACAATAATTTATGAAAGATTTTAAAAGGAGATGGAGTTTTGAGTTACAGTTATCTTTCCAGAAACACTAAATATTTGCAACCAATTGCTCGGAAGTTTTTACACAAAGAAAGGTATAGCAATTCATAAACTTATTTTTTTTAGTATCGAACAATTTCTTAGTAAAGAAACTTCTCATTGTCAAAATGCATTAAACGTTTAAAAACATATTTTTACTACTGTTATTTACGTTTTACCTAATAGGAAACGATTGGTTTATCTGTTAGAGGAAACCTAGATTTTTTTCATTCTTATACTTACTGTTTGTTCTCCATAGAGTTCCAATAACAGCAATGTCAACCATATAAAGAACAGCGCACACGATGACTGCCGAGAGGGCGGCGCGAGGAATGAAATAGAAGTAAGGAGTCAGCACACCCAGAGTTAATAAAACGATTATACCTGTAATATAATACGTATGATATCAATATAAAGGCATCAGATCGAATAATAATAAGAAATTAAGTATAAATAAAGTTGTTCAGCTAAAAAAGGTCCCAAAACAGTATTTTCTTATGCTTGAAAGAATTAATTCTTATTCTAAAATTTTCCCGCATTCCAAACTGGTCTTATATTTTGTTTCTAAATGTACAAACAATAAATATATTTTATTTACCAGTATAAAATCCTGCCGCGGGGGTTCTAACCCCTGACGCATCACTTACAGCACTCCTCGTAAAAGAACCGTTCACGGGGAATGAGCGGAAGAAAGAGCCTATAATGTTGCAAGCCCCGAGTGACACTATTTCTTGCGTAGCGTCCAACGTCTTACCTTTAGCTGCAACATATGACGTTTCAAAATTAAAAAAATAGAAATATCAATACAACTTTAATATATTAAATAAAGTACATACGTCTTATCTTAAAGTCAACCAAATATTATAAAGCAATTAAGATACAATCTACAATATTTGAAAGAATTTACAAATAAAAATCTCATCCGTAAACAATACACGTGTTACAAAATGTAAACAATTTACAAGCGCGTGACAAAAAATACGATGTTATAAGCGTTTAAATCAAGTTTCTGTATTTAAAACGAAATCTCTATCATAAACGGAAAAAATTTTAACCCAACTGCAGGCTTAAATTGAGATAGCCAAGTCAAATATTGTAAAACTTCGTTTGCTATTTAGTTATTTTCATTTAGCAAACTTGATATAGCGAAATTCAAATAGACATTTCAAAACTTATTTTCGTGACAGTAAGCTTCGTATTCGAATAAAGCATTTTTTCATCGTAATTAAGTTAACATGCGGACGCTCCAGGGCGTTTTTAATGGCAACTGTTGTATTTAATTTGCTTCAGTTATTTGTTTCAGTTTTTTTGTAAGCATTTATTCTCATCGTACTGTCCTTTTCAAAAGTAACAAAACTGTATAATAGTTGTATAATTGTGCGGTTTATGATAATTTCATTTCTAAGAATACGAATGAAGTATTAAACTGAAAAAATAAAGTACTTATTTTATCAAATTCAGACAATATATAAAATATAAAATGTATGAAAATTAAAACAGTGATGATAATTTCACCACACGTGAATAAAAATAATGATAAAGATTCCGATATGTACATCTTTTACGTAATATATTCAATAAATGTTCTATAATATAATGAAATGTAAACGGAACATTTGTCTTGTTTACCGCATTTATGATATACTTAAATTATAGTAAATTGATCTGTAATAAAGTAGGAACATATAAATGTTTTAAACGGTTCCTAGAACGGAAATTTTACTTTATGCTTTTATTTTTTCTAATCTACAAATTTAAGACATTAAAATTGAATATATTAAAGAAAATAATACACTAATAACGTTTCTGATTCAACCTTATAATTATCATTTCTTGGGCGGTTACGACTCCCTCGAAGCAAACGGATTTGACAATAAAAATGTCTCGTAATAATGTAATTATAATTCATCTATATCTTTTAATGGCATCCATAAAAAGTAACCTTCTCATTTACTTTCATTGGATCAAACGAAACTTTATATATAAATTATTAAATAAACAGCAATAAAGATAACTAACTGAGAAAATAAAATTCAAACCGTGCCAAAAGGATCAAGACTGCAAACTCAAGATTTAAAGTCACCGAGGTTTAATTTCCGTACTCAATATATCAAAGTTGTCCTTGGTTGAGAACGAAATTTTAATCAATCACCAACCGATACATCATAAGTTGGTCAAAGATTTATGTGACGGAATGATATTGAATTTTTAAGAAATTGTATTTGAATTATTATTTTTAAATGCACAAATTATGATACAATAAAAAACATAGTTCTCTTGTATACGTAAGTAGATTGTGAAATATATATGTATAAAAACAACTTATGTGAACTATGTAAATAAGAATATGTTTCTGAATTCTATTCTGAACCATGGTCCAAAGGATTTTTTGTTTCGACTTGAATGTAGCTGTTAGCCCTATTGGCTTTGACAGTGTCACCGGGGATTGGGCGGCCCGATGGGACCGGTCAAAACAATTTGCCTCACCATCACTACGAAAAGACTAATATCATTGTCAAACTTCACACCCAATTTGATCAACAAAAAAAGCCTACTCATGTTAAATGAATTCAGTTCATCCTAACTAAAACACTAATGATGCCTCGCAGTTAACCCTTCATTAGAAGGTTTAGCCACCCTCAATCAATTAACAACACTCAATATTAAACCCTATAATAGTTAAATAAGAGCTAAATTCATCTGATTAAAACAATTCTGTAGACGGAGTCATTACGGTCGTTAATTAGTAAGCATAACCGAAGACCACTCAAGTCGTTCCAACGTTTACAGCATTCGTGTGCCTTACATTAAATAAAGCTGGAGGATTTACAACAACTATGATTAAAAGAAGTTTTACCTTTTTAGTGTGAATGAAATTTTCATTGATTTTAAATGAATATTTGATTTAGATTTTAAAATGGGATGACATTAATGAGCTGACTCATAATATTATTTTAATATACGCAGCCGAGAACTTTCACTCACTGATACAATCAACAAAATTATATATATATATATATATATATATATATATATATATATATATATATATATATATATATATATATATATATATATATATGTATATATGTGTGTGTGTTTTGATAGCTTTGTTTTTATTACATATGTTTTTAACACAGAAAATATAATGTTATTATATTAAAACAATACTCACAAAAGGCTTTGGCTATGGCAACGTTGGATATTACTCCGACTAAGGGTACAACTAGAAGTCCTGAACCCAAGTGGGATAACATCTGACCCGTAGTAATTGTCGAATTACCGTCCATCGACTTAAAAGGTGGTAGCTGTGGGGTTGGCAGACCTGGAGTTATATCACCTGCAATAATAATTAATGCTTTTAGCTTTAACCCAATATGAAGATACATATGGATTAACAAATAAAATAAATTCAAATTAAATTCACTTCATCGTCATCGGCTTATCAGAGTCCACTGCTGAGCAAAGACCTCTTCTCATATGGAGAAGGTTTGAGCATTAATCACCACGCTTGCTCAAGACGGGTTGGTGATTTCAAACTTATAATTGTGAAATTATAAGTCCAGGTTTCCTCACGGTGTTTTCCTTCACCGTCTATCAGTGGTGCCTATATTCACTATTTATGATAATTTAGCGTACATAGATCCGAATCTCTGTTTGCTCATTCCAAATTATTTATTTCGTATGTCTTGAGACGTAATAAATGGCGTCCTTGTTCGCGAACTAAATTATACATACATTTCGCTGCGGTTTTAATTAGCTCCAGTAACTTTTCTTACACTTAACATCATATAGCATTAATCAAAACAAATAAATTATTTAATGTACATATGCTTATAAATTTCTAGTAGACAGACGTTCAGGCGGAAATGCAGTCCATTATTTTTGTGTCGGATGTTAAAAGCTTTAAGCTGTATCGCAGTAGTTAAATACATTTTGTAAATAACAATTATTCTTAGTACATTTTTGTCATTATTAATCTTATTTGAACGTACGTAATCGAATGTATATTTATCTCTCCAACACATAGATTTGCGAAAGTAATTAAGAAAAATGTTGACATTCGTACTGTTATGAGTTAACTGTTACAAAAGAATTATTTAACTTAATTTTTATGGAATATATTCTCAATTTTCACTCATATCAGCTTTAACGGCGATCCTTTTTTACAATTTTATACGAAGGGAATCCCCACGGATATCGTAAGTCCTGCCCGGGTTAAGCTTACCAACGATGGTTTAGTGAGTTGCTAGACATGCCTTATCGCCAAAGTAGAAAAACTGTCCAAAAGTTTTAGGTTTCTCTATTGTCAAATCTTCAAACATATTTCTTTTAATTATCTTAATATCAAGCTCTCGAGAACAGTACAGTACAAATTTTATATACTTTATAGTAATTGCCGTTGGGGAATATAGAAACGCCTTGATTAATACTTGTTCTGGTGTACATCTGTGTTGCTGTTTGGCGTACACGTTCTGATATTAACTGCCTCGCTAAACGTGAACAACATAAATTGTGAACCTCGTTAGTTTAAGCTTAATGTGAAAACTATGAATTATTGTTAAATAATATATTTCAAATATATTATTGTATGTATTCGATTTAACTTCATGTTTCACATTATATTGTTTTAAACTTTTGCCGCTGAGCTCACAGACTGGAATATTTAAGTTGAATCACGGGATATATCTTTAAAAATGTATTTACATTTTATTTTCACGAAAGTAAATTACTTCCATATTTAATAACAAAAGACTTGTAATTTTCCACTTATAACAGTATAAAAAACACAATATTAAAACCGAGACTATTTAATTCATAACAGTCTGAATTCTGAGATTATGAAATAATATGAGTGTAACGCTTTAATATTGTACCTCGCATATAAACAATGAGAGTAGTACAATAACGGTATGTTATAACATATGAGATGTTGTACTCGGAATTCATTTCTATTGTATATTGTTATTATTATTTTTAGTTCATATTAGTGTCGAGGCTACTTCTAGTTCGCATAAAAAAATCTTGAGTATAATATTATCTTTAAAAACAATTGCTTATTTAGACAATAAAAAATATATATTCAAATAAAGTTTGAAGTAAAATAAGATATCGTCATGTTTCTTTCAAACTATTTTAGCAGCGATCATAAAACAATATTTAAACTCCTACGAAGTCAGAAGAAGTAACTAGTTACTACATAAAATTACAAAATAAACGAGTTTCAAGATTGCGGATGTTTCACAGTTTTATCAATAGACTGCATCCTTTGACGGAATTCAATGGTAATTACGTAATTATATAATCCGCTTTCTCTCCAATTCATTTAATGAGGAAGAAATTCGTTTACATTCTGATGTTAAGATAAATGGCGTCTGTAATAGTTTTAATAATTTATGAGCACAATAAAATTATATTTGCTTTTAATTTCTAATATCAATAGAGAACGATTTTCCTGTTCAAAGTTTTACACGTTACTTAAAGTGCATTAATTTTACAATCAGTTTATAGAATACTAAATTAATTAAGGCGACAATTCTGTTGGCAAGTTTCCAAAATGCTACGCCAGTTGCAGGTTTAAGCCACGGTTTTGTTGATGATTTAATTGTGTGATACTACATATTTGTAAAATTACTAAATAAGTTAAAAAGAATCTAATTGAATACAATTTATTGAAAAATAAGCTGTAGTATCACCTATGTACTTTTGGAAAACTAGTTTGATATGATAAAAACTTTACTTTCTCTAATTTTACTGTCAAAGTATGTACTGAAATTATCTTGAGTTCTGAATGTGTTTTCAGCAATTGAAAAAACAACTATGGAATATTTGGAAATCTTTTCAAATCCTTCTGTATAAAACTTAAAACATAATATAGATTTATTTATATAAAAGGTCATTAACACTTGAATTTGTATGAAGAATAATTCATCTTAAATTAATTTTACTTACGAGCTGCATGCTAATCGGATGCTCGTGGCAATTTGTGTTAATTACCTGTGAGTATAAGAGGAACCTCTTTGTCCTGGTGGACGAAGAACGCTATAACGGAAGCTATAACCACGACCACGGCGTTCCTCGCTACACCCACGAACCAAAAACATCGCTGTAGTATCTCTGACCGACGACTTTTCTCGTCCTTTTCTTTCAGACGAACATCTTTTAGAGCCTGAAAATTTTCTAGCTCTAACATAAACCATATTTTTTACGAAAATAGCGAAGCAAATATTATTTACATAAAAAATCCAACGATGAAAACAATGAAAACGATCGATATGGAATTTATATAGGTTAAATAAAAAAAATGAAACGAGCTATTTAAAATCATGAATTTCACAAGAGCAAATACTTCATATAAATCTCTCGGAAATTCATTGCATTCACTTTACTCATCGTATTAATTTATCTTTAATACAATTTAAATCAATTTGAGGTAGTAACCCAATATAAAATTACCTACACTAATAAAGTCAGTAGTCAGTCAGTCAGTAAATTGAACAAATTAACTGAGAAACTAATATTTTTCGGGTGTACTACGCGATTTTTATTTTTATTAAAAACTACATACATACTCGATTTTTATTTTTACTTTACAGCAATGTTTCGGTTGCTGTAAAGTAAAAATAAAGCGTAGTACATCCGAAATATAGTAGTTTCATTTTAACGAATACTCGCAAAAAACTTAGATCTCATTAAATCAACCGAGACTTAACATAGCAAAACCGCAAGTCCGAGATTCAAATAGCCATACCGATAATAAATTCTTTTAAATAATCAATTTAATTTATTGTCATATCAGAGAAAAATTATTGTGAACTTAATAAAATACACATGATAATGTACATAAAACTTAGAAAGACGGGCTTAGATTATTCAGTCCATCCTTAATATTGGACAATTTTTCTCTCCTTGTCTTTTTCCTTCGATATCTAATACCTTACAATTCTACATAGCACATCTTAAGAATTTTTTTATGTTTATATTGCATTTAATTAAAAAATTTAATTAAAGAAATATATATCACTAAAAATGAATAGGTTTTTTACCATACTAGCTAAAACTAGCTACTTATACGTAATTACAGTGAACACTGAGAAGCTCGCTTATTCGCTTATAGTTTATCGTATAGCAATCAGGGTCAGCTGTTACACAAACACAATGTGCTTACATAATTTATGATCTCATATTAGCTATAAAAACTTTCTTAACCTACGAGAACAATGATTGAAAGATTATAACATTATTTATGCAATATTTTTGGTATTCACATTTAATATTAATCCTTAAGGTTACGTTTCTAACAGATATTTGATAGTGAAGCGGGCTTACGGAATATATATGAGATGAGACTCGTCAAATAGCGATTTTGAGGATCATAACATAGTAGTGTTGGTATTCTTAGAACATATTTTTTTATGCAATTGAGTTGACAACTGAGTTTCTTAAACCCCTTCATAAGTTTATGTACTTCATAATCTTAATAATTTAATAATTTTAAAATATATATTGTCTATATAAAGTATTTGAGTATTAACGTAATAAGAAAACTATATATATTATTATAAGGTATCTTAGATAGCTGTGTAATAAATTCGATTGCACTTAAAATACTATTTCTGTTATATTAGTTTATACAATAGATAGATATCGTAATTATTATGTGTAGTAACTGAAACAAATGTAATTAATAACATTTAAGCATACGCATAATTTATTAAAGCCTTCCCTAATGTTGCGTAAATACATGGATGTACTTTCTACGATAAAAATATTTAAATTGTACATTTCCTCTCTTCAGCACATTAACGCCAAATTGACGCCATCAATAAATTAATATTTATTTGAAAGATACTGATTTCACTTTTAAAATCAGTAATTCTATGTAATATAATTTACATTCAATGTCAAAAGATATAGAACAGTATAATAAAATGTACTAGGTTTTCCGTATCTCACGAATTATTTGCTCGAGTCTTGAAGGTCAAGCGACGTAATATTAACTACATATTACTTCCTCAAATTGTTCTCGGCGATGTCTTTACGACGATTGAATTTTATTCACCTTATTTAAATGTATTTTAACCGACTTCATAAATGATGGTTCACGAATCACTGAATGTAGTAATAATATTTTCGTTGGGACAAATTCAAATATATGTACGTAAAACATATGACAAATATAAAATCTTCAATTTTCATTAGATTGTTATTCAAGTTAATATTTAAAACATACTGTTTGTTTGTTAGACTTCTTGAAATATTGAAGTAAATATTTTTACTTTGAAGTCGGCTACTATTTTTATTGTTACATGCCCTTATCATGAATTATAGATTCAAACTGTAATCTTGCAATAGAAACTTAATTAAAAATCACGATTAAATTAAGTAGTTTACAGAAACAATCTTCAATAATAATTGTGATAATTCAAACAATTGTCACCACTGCGCAATGAAGGGTATAATTCTGTTTATTATTAAGATTATATCTACTATAACAGTATTGTTATTCAAAGTTGTAAAGTTATAACAATAACGGAGCAGGGGCAATTACTTTTTATTCGCTGCACAGATAGAGGTTACTAAGTGGAGCACGAATCGAGGAGTAACAAGTTGTAAAACTAGTCTGCAAACAATAGAAGCAATTATATTTCCCGAGAGAGTTTAATATGTTCCGGAATTAGCTGAGATTTGAGCTTAGCTCTGTGTCGTTAGTTACTCTGTACCTATTCTATTATGTATTGTAGTATTGGACTTCAATTTTATTCCATTTGCTTTTTATTATAATCCATTGTACTCTTTAATAAATCTGTTAATGGTAGTTATCCAACTAAACAAATGGATTTATAGGACATTAAAAATAGCACCGTTGAATTAAAATAAATTTAAAATCTATTTTTCTCCTTAAATGTTCCTACTAAAAGCAACTATGTAAACTCATGAAAACAAGGAGAACATCAAATTTTAGAACATGCTGGTGCATAATAAGATTTCATTCAAGCATTTCTCGGTGGAATTTTAAATTTTTATATTTTTCCGATAGAAATTGTAGATACCTACAATATACATTAACTCAACAAATATTTGAAATTTGAAGGAAAACTGCTTGCACATAATCACCTTAATAATCATTTAAGATGCATATTAACACTCATAGAATATACCGCACAGAACAATACATTTTCAAAACTCTTAACTAACAATGGACCGGTAGTGAATTGTTAGCTATTTCAGATCTTACCATCACACAATCTCTTTGACAATCTTTCTTCAAGGGCACATTACTTAAGTGATTAACATCTTTATAATAAAAAACTGTGATAAACAAAAATACGCTATAAGGCTATAAATAACTGCTAAGTAAAACCAAATAAGATTCGATTCGGAGAATGAGTTTTTTCGATAGTTCATATTTGTTCACGTACAGCTGGTAATACCCATGTTTATTCGTTTTTATTTAAAATGATATAAAAAAGTTGCTAAAAACGTTATACCTACAATTTGATTGATATTGAACATTTAACAGCGAAGTTTACCGATTCAACTTGTAATTACAAATAGATATACCAGTATACACTGACCTTCATTCCCATAAGTACAATACAACAAGAGAGTCCAAGTAACGTGTCTTCTAGTTTCGTTTCACTAATATGATGTAAAACTCCTTTCCACGTTGAAATAAAATTCTCTGCCTTAAATTTCAAACCTAAAAGACCTTTTATTTGTGAAGATGCTATCGTTATAGCTGCAGCGGATGTAAACCCAGAAACGACTGGTAGTGATACAAATTCCACAAGAAAACCTGAAAAGAAAACTCATTTTTGTATTTTAATCAGACTTCTACACACCAAATACATTTTTTATAAAGGTGCGATTTAAAACTCTTACCTAATTGTATGACACCAGCTATCAACTGAATGATGCCACCGATAAAGCACAGAAGAACAGCGAAGTCAGGGTTCGTACCGTTTGTGTAAGTGAATGTGAGAAGGGAAAGTAGGGCTGTTGGCCCTATATTAATCTGTGGACAGGTGCCCAGCAACGCGTATACGAACCCACCAGCAAATGAAGCGTACAGGCCATACTATCAAAAAAATATATACTTAAATACAATACATACATTTTTTGCTCACTTCTTTACTTAAAAATATATTATTAATCAACAGATATTGTTATGGAGATGACGTGTGTCAAGTAATCAACGGTTCTAATGAACAAGAGTTTTTAGTATCTACGAGCTTTGGTACATCAAAAATTATAATCATAATCATCCATTACATGTAACGTCTTTTGAGATTATTGCTCTTGCCCACGACAAAAACAATGAGATCTTACAAAATTCTATCTTCTGCGAAATTATTTCATACAAGGCCAAAAAAAGGAAAGATATCAATCAAAATAAAGAACAACTTTTATGTAATTATAGCGAAGCAGAGTTACTACAAAAAATTTCTATTCAAAATATAAAATTTAAAAACTTTCCAACATGAATGTCCGCTAAACTCAAACATTTCCGTTTGGAAACACTTTATTTGGTTATTTTTTCTTTATAAAACTGCCAAGGAAAAGCTAACAAGAGCAGAAGGGGTAAAACAACTTTCCACTGTATTCCACAAGTCAGTCTCTACACGCTTGATAAAAATCCATTAGACGAACTGCAACTTAGTGATTCAGCTTTTATAGAAGTTAAAAGTTTCTACTTTACAGTATTTAAGTTAACGTTTTGTTTTTAATGGAAAATGTATACTTTGAGTATCATGATACTGAGAATTATCTACAGAGAACAATAGTACTTTGTGAAACTTTGAAATCTGTATCGCAAATGTAACTAACGAATAAGGAATATTTATAAAGGCAAAAAATGTGACGAATCAATGAATATGTTGATATGTATCAGATCTGTGTTGTTTCAATTTATTCATACTTTTGGCGTCACATAGACAACATCGCAATATGTAATTCCAAATCTATGTCATTTCCTAAAATATTTATTTTGTATATTTCCTCGATAAGGAAAAATAAAAATCACGTAAAAATATCGCTAACTAGAAACAAATAATCACAACAATTTGTGTGACTTTAATTTTAAGATAAATACTGACTTTAACATAAATGCTGCAATCATATTTATGTCATGTTGATTTTGCGTAACTTTGATCTAAACATGTTTGCAAGTAATGATGGACCACAGTCTAAAAACTTAACAATCCTCACCTGAGGTTCGAATCCAGCTAACGAAGCATATGCTATAGACTGCGGTATGAGAGTTAGGGCGACGGTAATCCCCGCTATGAGGTCCCCTACTGCGGTGTTCACGTCATACAACCTCGACCATTGAACTATGGGGAAAACCCGCCCTACCAGCCTCCTGGGATCTATTTTCATCATTCTGTAATATAAAGTAAATAACTAATAGATTAATTTAAATATAAATAATAGATTTTATACATATATATAAGTACTATCTTCCACAGTCCAAATTCAATGGTAATATATGTATTTATATATGTATAGCTACGAGTTAATTATATAATGTTGAAGTGTTTGTTCATTCACTTATATTATTATCTGTTGGTTTTCGAAGCACCTTAAAGAATGTTTACAGAAATTTTACTGTGAACATAAGAAAAACGAAAATTTATTTCGGAAATAAACAGAAGTGCCGTACGAGGCTATAAAGCATGTCTAAATCTCCAGCAATCGTTGGTCTGAACTAAAATATAACTTTATACAATAACCTGAAATAAATAACAATTGATTTTTTTACTACATCGAGAAAATAAGATGCGGAAAAGGCTATGCGATAATAATATTTTTATATGAAATTCTTCCATTATTACGACAGGTATGCATGACGTATCGAATTTTATTTGCATTACAAAATTTGTTCTACCATTGAGTTATATTGAGTGTTTTATAATTTATCACCTTATATTCTATTAACCACAAGTAACTTTTTCTAATAGCTTTTGCTTGATATTTGTTTTAATGGGATTATACATTGCAAACATCAACTTTTTCTTCTTTAAACAAATTTATCTATTTATTTAACTTAAAAATATAGTGTCAGTTACGATAAATATAACTTTATGCAACTAAATTCCTCTCAGATATATTAAAAGTCCATAGCTACAATATGTAATAATAGAATAATTACGTGTTAATTAATAAGTTCATTTATATTAAATTACTTAATACTGTTGACGTCCCCACGGTCTTTGAAATTGTGTTTAGAGAGAAATAATTAATTAGTGAATTTGACTAACTTTAATAAAACACATTGTTACTAGTAACGCCATCTGTAGTCTGTGACCCCTGACTTTCTACAACATTACAACTACTTGAGATTTGAATAATTTATAACATATGTATTAGTTATTCAGATAGTAAAACCCCTCCGGTAGATATTGTTTTTGTGAAACAAAGTTTTTTGTGTGGTAAAATTTCATTTACAACATAAGTAAGCATTTAGCAAACCGTTATCAATTCTTAAAATCTCTTCAAATAAAGGGAAAAGAATTTTCAAATTCAATATTTGTGCTCTCTTATCCTGAAAAATTTATAAAAAACTTAAATCTTACAATTTTTTTTTAATCTTCTATTCATTAAAAACAAAAGAGATAGTTAATAAAATGTCATAATTAACAATGTCGCATTCTGCATACGCAAGACATCAAATTCGTTTTCACAGACTTAATAATTCATTAAAACGTAGCATTGACATTCATTTCGTACAAAATACTAGGATATACTCGGGTACATTGTATTTCTAGTGCATTACAAATTGTACAGACATTTATCTTGAACTGTAAGTATTTAAAACTCAATATTGACCCATATTCATGTTCATAAAAATGTACAAGCTATTTTCTCTATTCACAGAAATTTATGTGAGAATTTATCACAAATTTATTCCATGTTTCACGTACAATTATAGCCAAACGAGTAAAAAAATCTGACATCAAAGGCATCTGTAGCCAATCATGGAGGTTACGTCCCTTTTGTGTGAGTTAACTCGTGTGTTTAAATAATAATTTACTAACATTAAACAAATAAATAACACAGAATTTAGAAGATATGTGTTTGAAGATAATATTTTCATTATACAGTTACTGAATTGTATATATGAATTGTATAAATGTATATATCTTTGTTTAACAAATCCTGTATGTAGGAAATACGTAGTCATATTAAATGTTTCAAAATCACGTTTGACTGTGGTTAACCACGAACAAATATCTACGATTATTATGAATATGTTTGTTAACAGTTCAATAGTTAATCCAGCAATTATGTATCGATGGTTGGATATATGGAGTGATAGTCGGATGTTTAACACTCTGGAAATATCCAAGTAACATTTATAAATGTACCTTTCATACACATTCTGTTTCTTTAGGTATACCAAATATTACAAGCGTGTTGAGGTAAGCTAAAAGTTCATAATATTTATTTAGAAGATATTATACTACATAATTCGTTTCAAATTATTTCTATATTATTATTTTTTTTTTTAACAATTTTAAAATAAATTATAATTTATAAGACTCAATGACCGATTGAACAGTGACATTTGATTGTTATAATAAATGTAGATTATACATCTCTTTATCACTGAAAATTAAATCACTGAAAATACTATTTAAAAAAATCCAAACATTTTGTCATGACCAAAATGTTTTGTGTACTATCATAATCACCATTACATATAGTAATATACAAACTAAATCTCAATTTACAAAAATAAATTAATAATAACTCTATTGAAATTAAAGGCAAAGTAATCTATAACTTATGAATAGATTATGTTCTTGTAATAGAAAAAGATGAAGTATAAAAGAGAGAATACATTATTGAAATGCCACAAAGATGTGCACTTAATCTTAATTATATATTAACTAGTAATTTTCGTTGTCTTTAATATTGATTGATGCTTCTGTAATCTATTTTGAAATAAATTATTTTTATTAATTGAAACAAAATTTAGGCGAAGTCAAACAAATGTAAATATTAACATAATATAACAAACTATATATGATTCCACCACCTGAAGGAATAAAATGAAGCGTTAAAATTAATAAACTAAACTTTTGGGACTCACTATGGACATGAATTGCAAATTGTGTATTTATTACAGCAATTAACATGAAATTAGTTACACAAACTTCAACGCCTCAATATGTATATTAAGATGTTGTTTCTGAGAAACACTCTCGAAAAATACTTCAAAATACAATAAATTCCTGTGATCTTGTCTTTTATAAGAGCTAGATTTAAAACCCAGACTAAATGGTGCCATACTTAAGAACCTTACGTCCAACAAAGACCTTAAAATCTGATGGATGTATGGATAAAATAACTAATAAAATAGTTTTATTACTCACAGTTATCACTTTTTGAAATGACTATATCTTTTGACTAGTTTATTAGAAAAACACGGAAACAAAACAATGTATGCGTTATGTCAGAATTATTAAAAAATACATACATGTATTGTCTAGCACAAGTTTGAACAATAAATCTAAGCGTTTAACGTGTTCCGTTTCTAAATCTAGACAATACAAAGTTTTATAAACAGAAACACTGAAAATGCATTCTTTAAGAAGTCTACATTGAAACGAAAATAATAAATGTTACAAAATATACACTAACATTTTATAGTTATAATATAACTGCTTCTATAAATTGTAAAACCAACGGATTCCAAAATGAATTACGTTGGGACAGAAAAATATGATAAAGTTATGACGGTTTAATAAATATATAAAAATAGATTTAGTATCATTCGCATCTATAAAATGTCAGTTTAACAATTAATAATCCCTAAACAAGTGTATACACAACTGTGATAACTATAAACAATAAAAATAAATACTGAATAACCATATACAACCATATCAAGCTATTTATTTATATAGATATATATGTGTACATGTATAGATGTATATAGAGAGACGAAACCCTTAGCATTCAATGGAATCACCGTGCGGGTGTCGGGTCCATCGCGGTCCATATATATATATATATATATATATATATATATATTGATTATGTTTTCATATGTATTTAAATCATCCTCATCAATTTTAATTTTTAATCATAATACTCCAATGAACCTTTGCAAATCGTTCTTGAAACATTTTTTATTATTATACATAGTCTGGGTAAAAACATTAAAAAATAAATACCTATAATAATTTTTATTCGATTGTTCACTGTTTTCATTGGATTGATAAAAGGAAACGAAAAGTTGTGATTACATTATGAAAAGTAGGCATGGAGCGAAATATATTTTTTAAATGTTCCATACTCTTGGTATTTGTCAAATGTTTCAATATCGGGGTATAGATATGTATAATAAGATTTCCTCTGTTTCTGACAAAAACATATATGGCCATGATAAAATTATTTGTATGAAGAGCATCAAGAGAAAGAATTTGAGGAAACCCTGTTCGAAAACAATCGATTTCAACTCTGGATATGATGGTGGCACTTAGAACCAAATCACGTATTTTTTAAAATAACTTAGGTTGTACAATCTGTATGAGAAGCAATGGTCTTTTCTTTACTAAATTTAAAAAATAGGGTGATCAAAACAAAGCATCTACGTAAGGGGAGACAACAGAAAAAAATATGAGCAATATTTTAACAAAATTACCTAATTAATAGTGAAAGCTTCATATAGGCTTCCCTATTAGTAAATTATTGTTCTAATTATGATCAGTTGTAGATAGTAACTTTAGCTCTAAACGCCATGACAATTGCAGTACCCTAAAAAAATTCATACAATTGGCAGTGAAAAATTTTCCTGTAGTAACAGTACGTGATGCTATTGATAATTGGCTTCAACGTTTAAACATCTGTTTTGCAGCCAATGGATACTACTTTGAATAAGCAACATATGTACATTTTAATTGTTTCATATTTTTTATTAAAATAAAAAATATTTTATTCTTCATCACAATGTCAATGTAACACGTCAAGATCAAGGTTATAAAAAATTGTTCTTTATTGAATAATATTATTATTATTCGTGTTCTTTATCGAATAATATTTTATTTTTATTTAAATAATTTATTAATTACTTTAAATGGGTTAACCTTCTAAAGAACAATTCTTATCAAAAACGGAAATCTCATTGTTCTTGCAAAAGAATTTAAGTCCTGCTAATACAATTATAAAAATATCTTATAATAAATGGATTAAAAGATACCTCATCTGTTTGGTCCTTGACCTTAAAAAGTAGTGACAATCTTTCACTCGCCGATTAACATTGGCCATTGGAAAATAAAAGAAATCGTCTGAGGTAGATAATATTATTGGCGGTAATTTCAACATTATCAATTTAAATTCGTTTTCTATTTTTAATAATGCAAAGTATCAATGTT